AAGAAGAAGTCAAGGAGATGAGGAAAACCCATCAAAGGAGCCTCATGAGTAGCCACTAAAATCATAGGAACACAGGGAGAGTAGGATGAACAAAGATTTTCAAGGAGAGAAGATGGTTAAATGTATCAAAGTGCTACTATTACATTGAATAAGATAAGGATAGATTTAGACTATTGATTGAGAAGTGTGGAGATCATTATGATCTTAACAAGTACAGCTTAGAAGAGATGTTGTGCATGAAAGCCAAATGGGCTGGAATCAAAAGAAAAATGAGGAGATTCAAGCCTGCCAGTGGACAAACCATTCTAGGTGCTTTCCTCTATCATGGAGAAGTGAAATAGTAGCTGTAGGCGAAATTAGATTCAGGGGTGTTATTTTTCAAATTAAGTTTTGTTTTGGCATGTTTTTAAATTGAAGAAAATAATGATGTAAAAATATGGGAATGATCCAATAAAGAACAAAAAGTTAGACACTGGGGACATAGGAAAGAATGGGTGGAGAAATATCCTAAGCTTGATGAGAGGGAAGATTTTCAGAAGCACCAAAAAAAAAAAAAACCCAGGAAAAAAATACCCCAGTATTGCCAGGAAAAACCACTGTGAAAAATTCAACTCATCTAATTCTCCAGTCCAGGATTATAGAAGTGAGACTTAGAGAGCTGGCTTTATCTAGTTCTCATTTCTATGGGTGAGAAAGCTAACAAAGGCTCCAAAGACACTGGTATTTAATGACAGATTAGAAGCTTTGGAAGGAACATGCATCAAAACCTCACTGATGCAATTGCATTTAAAAACACAAACATCTGGAGTCATTTGACTAATACCTCTCTTGCTGCCATACACTGGTGCTAAAGCTCACTTCATAAATGGATAAAATTGCTTCAAAAAAGAATGTCAGCTCCCAACATGACAGTTATTTCTGCTTTGTGAGCAATACATGAAATACCTGGTCCCGGATCTGTTTGGTCTTGATCCCATAAATGATGGGATTCAGCATAGGAGGAACCAGAATGCAGACATTGACCAGCAGGATGTGGATATGGGGTGAGATGTGGCGTCCAAACCTATGAACAAGGGTTGTAAAGATCCCAGGCCCATAAAAGAGGATGATGACACAGACATGGGAGCCACATGTGTTGAGAGCTTTTTGGCGAGCATCTTGGGATGGGATGTGGAAGACAGCATAGAGAATCAACATACATGAGAAAGAAATTAGCACAATATCTAAGACCACTGTCGACATTAGGATAAAAAACCCATACCAGATGTTTACTCGTATGTCATCACAGGAAGCATGGGCCAAGACAATGTGATTACAAGAAGTGTGTGGAAGAATGTTACTTTTGCAGAAAGTCAGTCTTTTCAAGAGAAATATTATGGGGACTATTAAACCAAAACTTCTCAGAATGACAGTCACACCAATTTTCCCAATCAACGCATCTCTAACAATAGTGGTGTATCTCAGTGGGTAGCATATGGCAATGTAGCGGTCAAATGCCATCGCCAGCAAGATCCCGGACTCAGAGATGAAAGTGCTGTGGATAACAAAGACCTGAGTAATGCAGCGATTCAGGGAGATCTCCCCAGCACGAAACCAGAAGATGGCCAAGGCCTGAGGTACTATGCATGTGGAGAGGACAATGTCTGCTCCGGCCAGCATACAGAGGAAGAGATACATGGGTTCAGGGAGGCTGCTCTTTGTGATGATAATTATGATGAGCAGGCTGTTCCCAAGCAGGGCAATGACATAGGAAATGTAGAAGGGGATGGAAATCCACACGTGCTGGTTCTCCAGGCCAGGAATGCCCAGCAAGTGGAAGACTGTGTGGCTAACACCAGTGTGGTTTAGGGTAGTCATACCTGGAGCACATCACCTGGGACTTTACGTCCTATTCACAAACAAAGAGGAAAATTTAGATTATATTCAAAGATTGTCTTACCAAAAAAGTACCTTTCACACCTACCTGATTCTATTCCTTTCTGGGGGTGCCAAGAGCTATGTTATTAACGATGAATAAGACAGGGTATATTTTCTGAGTGAGATCTTAAGCTCATAAATAAGATTGACATTTATATAACTAACTATAATTAATTAGTTAAATCAATGTATTAGTTATACAAAAAAATTTAATACAGAAACACAATAGGAGTAATTCTCATTGTTCATATTTGTAATGGTCTTAGGAATAACTTCATACCTGAACTTAGCCTTGAAAATAAGAGTAGGGTTTCATCAGGTTGAGAGAATACCAATTACTGAATGGAGTGAAGTCATTTGGGAGTTTAAGAAATGTTTAACATGTAAATGCAAAATATGTTCAAAACAGCTTTCAGCTCTGTGAGGTTGTGATGTTGCTAATTTGGAGCAATTGGAAAAAATATGGCGACAAAAGTAGGTTGGCTCTGAATGTAAATTAAAGGGAATGAAATTTATTATGTTAGGAAAAATGATCAGCTATAAATAGTTTTAAAATTGGAAAACATTTTGGATATACCTATCTGGCAGCTACATGGAAGATAGGATGGATGGAAAAAGAGAGCAAAGATTGGAATTCAATGAAATAGTGAAGTTTGCCCTACTAAGAGAAATTAATGTATTGATAAATTACTGTCACAGTGAAATAAGATCAGGAAAGTATTGTTTTTAA